CCTATCCCCCTTACCCATAGTCAAGTGAGCCTGGTGTGCAACACACGGTCACGTGACCCCCACCTGCTCCCGAGCCCTGGTCTATGACTTCATCCTCTACCAAACATTCGCCCGCAGGGTTCCAAGGCTCGCGTGGGGCAGTGATAATAACACCGCTTAGTGGCCCGCTGACCATCAGTTCCAACTCCAGGGGCCTGGCTGCCACTAGCTGTAAAGTGGAGAGAAGTAAGAACCACCCCCCATCCCCCCAAAGCAGGTGTCTGAGGGCTTAGCTCATAGAAAGGCACTCAGCAAACGTGCACACGTAAGGCAGTGTCATTACTGTTTTTGTTTTGTTTTATATTCTCTTTGCCAGTTCCGGGGCTTGAACTCAGGGCCTGGGCACTGTCCTTGAGCTTCTTTTGCTCAAGGCTAGCACTCTACCACTTGAGCCACAGGCCTACTTCTGGCTTTTTCTGTGTATGTGGTACTGAGGAATGGAACCTAGGGCTTCATGCATGCTAGACAAGCACTCTGCCACTGAGCCATATTCCCAGCCAATTGTGTGCTTTTTTTTTTTTTGTCTAGGCTGGCCTCAAACTGTCAACCTCTAGCTTTCAGCTTCCTGACTAGCCAGGATTACCAGTGTGAGGCACTGGTGTCCAGTGCTAAGTAGGCTTATATGAGTGTCCCAAGAGAGTTTGCCTCATGGCTTGTGGCAGAGCTGCTCAGGTCAGGCTTCTTAATGACTAGATGGTTATAAAAGTTGGAATCCTGCCAGGCATTGGTAGCTCACAGTTGTCATCCTAGCTTCTCAAGAGGCTATGATCTGAGGATTATGGTTCAAAGCTAACCTAGGCAGGAAAGTCTGTGAGACTCTTATCTCCAATTAACTACCCAAAAGCCAGACGTGGAGCTGTGGTTCAAAGTGGCAGAGTGCTAGCCTTGAGCAGAAAGGTTCAAGGACAGTGTCTAGGCCCCGAGTTCAAGCCCCAAGACCCACACCAAAACCAAAGCAAAACCAAGACTCAAAACATAAAACTGGGACTCGGGCTGGGAAGGTGGCTCAGTGGTAGAGTGCTTGCCTTGCATGCATGAGGCTCTGGGTTTGATTCCCCAGCACCACATAAGCAAAAAGAAAAAAAGCTGGAAGTGGCGCTGTGGCTCAAGTGGTAGAGCGCTAGCCTTGAGCTGAAGAGCTGAGAGACAGTGCCCAGGCCCAGAGTTCAAGTCCCAGGACCGGACCCAAAAGTAAATAAATAAATAAAATAAAATAAAACTGGAACTCTCCTTCTGCAAAAGACATCCACCTGGGAAAATGTCCTGAGAGGTCGAACAAAAATCCTCCTAGATCAACACAGGTTATTTGTGTGAGGAAAAAGGCAGAAGAGTGAAATCTGTGGAAATAGCTTTCACACAAGCATCTAGGAAAACATCCACAGGGTCAGTGTGTGTCTGAGCGGAAATACACAAGTCCAACTGTGGTACAGGCAGGGGTGTGTGTGCGTGTGGTGTTAGTGTGTGCGTGTGGTGTGTGTGTGTGCACACATGAAGCCACAGGCCCCTCCCGCCAGGTGTCACCCCAAGCAAGGGACCGGGTCCAGAGTCTCCACTAGAGCCATCCTGCACAAATCTGGATGGAAAAGCTGGGCGCTGGTGGCTCACGCCTGTCATCCGAGCTACTCAGGAGGCTGAGATCTGAGGATCACGGTTCAAAGCCAGCCCAGGCAGCAAAGTCTCTGAGACTCATCTCCAACGAAGCACCAGAAAACCAGAAATGGTGCTGTGGCTCAAAGGGGTACAGTGCTAGCCTTGAACAAAAGAACTCAGGGACAGGATCCAGGCCCTGAGTTCAAGTCCTAGGACCGGCATGAAAAAAAAAATCTGAAGTGGAGTTGTGGTTAAGTAGCAGAGCACCAAACTTGAGTGAAAAAAAATAAATGAGAGCTTGAGATCTCGAGTTCAAGCCCTCGTACCAGCCCAATAAATAAATTAGTGAATCAATGAAATTCGGGTGAACTGGTGGTGTGGGGGAGGGGTACTCCCAAAACCCCTAGAGCAGTCTAAAACCCGTGTGTGGAGGGCTGGGATGTAGCTCAGTGGCAAAGCACTTGCCTAGCAAGTGCAACGTCCTGGGTTCGATCCCCAGTACCAAAAAAAAAAAAAAAAAAACAAAAAAATACAGTTAAAAAAAAAAAACCCGTGTGTGGTGGTGGTGGGAAAGGGAGATAAACATTATTTCTGCTTATGAACATCACGATTGCAGTGCAGATTACATGGGGTGGGGGAAGCATAAATAGAAAAAGGCATGGAAGCAAGTCCTTTTTTTCTTTTCCTGAGGCTTGAATTTCAGGGCTTGGGTGCTGTTCCTGAGCTGCTTCTGCTTAAAGCTAGCGCGGGACCACTTGAACCACGGCTCCCCTTCCAGCTTTTGGGTGTGGTTCATTGGAGATAAAGAGTCTCACAGACTTTCCCACCCCAGCTGGCTTTGAACCGCAACCCTCAGCCTCCTGAGTAGCAAGGATGATGGGCGTGAGCCACCAGCTCCTGGCCAGTCTAGTTTTACATCTGGTTTGGAGATGAAATTCAGGCAGAAGGTGGAGTCTCCCCACAGAGGCTGGGGAGGGGCGTTACAGGTTTCTGTTATCTGTGCTCAGCCTCTGAGATCCTGGCTCTGGACTTTGTTCTAGATTGGTAGGCCTGCCCTTTCTTTTCCAGGTAGAAACTGGTTTTTCCAAACAGCCACGCAGCAGCGTTACCACAGAGGAGGACACAGAGGAGGAATGGCTCCTGGTCTTTTGCCTAGCCCAGCACCCCACACTGTGGAAGCCCTGGCTCAGCCAGAGGTGACCCCCCAAAAGATACCAGCGGGGGAGGGGGAATCCCAAGATCACTCACTTGGGGAGGGATTATCTAGGGGAGCATGGGTGACCCCCGCCCACAGGCAACCAAGGCCACGAATGGAGTGCCAGGCTGCACCCAGGGTCTGGGTTCAGGCAGAGTTCAGAGCCTGGTGGACTGGGGGTGGTGATGGTGGTAAGGTGGCCCCTAGGCAAGACATATCCAGCATGTGGCACCCCAAATGTGTTAGATCACAGTCACACGACTTCATATTCCCTTCACACTTCAGCTGAATGCAAACCACAGGGAAGGGCTCTGGGTGTTCACCTGGGCACTCCAGGTGCCACAGACAGGCTGGGTTGGCAGGGAACGCATCGTGCGTGTGCGTGTGCATGTGTGTGTGTGTGTGTGTGTGAAGGGGATGCACCAGGCTGCCTCTGAGCTTCTGATCCTCTGGTGTCCATCTCCAAAGTGCTGGCATGTACCACCAGGACACGGATTTCTTCAGATGCTGAGAATGCGCTACTCCAGAAAGAGCAAGGGAACATGGGAAAAGCTAAGCCAGGTCAAGGACTGCAGGAAGTCGAGAAGATAAAAAGCACTGTGCTGGTGAAAGACAGAGACTTCTGTAGGAGACAAAACTCCTAAGTAACTGGAGACGCTACAGTTCCCACAGATGCAAGAACAGAGTCTGCATAGGGACCCCACTGTCCCCCGAGGAAGACACCCCTTTTCTTTTTTTTTTTTTTGTCAGTCATGGGTCTTGAACTCTGGTCCTGGGCATTGTCATTCAGCTCTTCAGCTCAAGGCTAGCGCTCTACCACTTGAGCCACAGGGCTGTGCCACTTCTGGTTTTCTGGTGGTCTATTGGAGATAAGGGTCTCACAGACTTTCTTGCCCAGGTTGGCTTTGAACCATGATCCTCAGATCTCAGCCTCCTGAGTAGCTAGGGTTACAGGCGTGGGCCACTGATGCCTGGCAACACCCCCTTTTCTATACACTTGGAACCTCAGAATGTGACCTTACTTAGGAACAGTACTTACATTACAACCAAGTCACGTTAGAAGGGGATGTCCTCTTAAGAAGAAAAATCCAGAAACACAAACCGAAGAATAAAGCAGATGGTGAGACAGCCAGGCTGCGCACCAGGGAATGCCGGACTAACCCAATCACCAAATGTTTAAGACAAAGACAGCTGAGTGTAGAGGTTCATACCTGTAATCACGGACATTTGGGAGAGTGAAGTAGCAGGACCAGGAATTCGAGGCCAGCCTGGGCTAACACAGTGAGATCCTGCCGCAAACACCAAGACAAAAGGCAAAGCAAAGGGGGGGGGGTGGTTCCCAAGATCTTCCTCAGAAGCCTTCAGAATGTGTCTCTACCCACCACACTGAGGTTGAATTTTTTTTTAACTTCCAGAGTTGAGGATAGATCTGCTGCTGTGCACCCCCAAGAAACCCACTCCCTCTCTACTGTACCCCAGTTCCCCACACCACCCTTCCCAGATCGATCCAACAACAGGCTGGAGGGCTACAGAAGGCTGGGGGGCACCTGGGCTTTTCCCACGTTCCCCAAGGCCCAGAAGCACTCCCCCTCCACACTCACACACACACACACACCAACTGCCCTCCCTTCCCATCTTCTTCTGCCGCGGGCGGGAGGTGGACTGTTTTCAGCTCTGCAGTGCTTTTGACTCCACGGGTGTTGCGTCCCCTCCTGCCCTGGCAGTACACACTACATACACTGCCGACTGTCTGTCCCTGCAGGACCCCACGCCAAGGGCCCCTTCACAGCTACGACGCCTTTAATTTCAGGGTCCCCCTCCTTCCCGCACCCCTATTCTACCACCGAGCTGGAGCCTCTCAGTTAATGAGGCAAATCTAAGCGCTCAGAGGATCCAATCCCCAGAGATGCGCACCCTGCCTTGGGGTGCCATTTAAAACTGCCCGGGGGGAGGGGGAGAGGGATGGAGGAGGAGGGAGGGGGTGAACGCTTTTTGGGGGGACGCTGCAGCCCCGGGTCCTCCCACTCAGAAAGCCCGGCTTCCTCAAGCTCCCCCAAGCTTCTCCCCCTTCCCCGCACCCCCTCCCCGCGGGGGCACCCCGATTCCGAGCCCCGCCCCCCCCCGGGTCCGGCCTCGCCCGTCGGAGGGTCCGGCCCGGCCCGGCCCGGGGACTGACCTTGTCCCGCAGCGCGCAGTGCACGTCCGGGGCCACGCGCCCCTCGCCCCACGGCTCGTCCATCATCATCGTCGCCGTCGCCGATCCGGGGATCCCGCCCCCCCCGCTCTGCACCCCCCCTACGGGGCGGCGGGCCGACCGGAACTGGACCCGGTATCTCCGGGGTGTGTGTGTGTGTGTGTCTCTCTCGATCTCGACAAAAGTTTGAAACCAAAGTAGCTCACGCACCCCCCCCC